TTTCCAGTGTCGCCAAAGCGCTTGCTCATAGGGGACATCTGAATGTTGGGTTTTCGCTGTTTTCTCTGTATTGTTGTTGGGGTTTAGCCTACAAAAACGATGTAAAGCACCTTGAGGTAACTGTTGCTGTAATATGGCACTTTATAAAGAGAACTGAGTCTGCTGGCAGACTGGGTATAATTTGGTATATTTAATGAAGCCATGCAAACATTTTCCTTAATATCTGTAAATATATTTACAAGTTACATCCTCATGTAAGTTGTAGCCGTCATAGATTCAGGATATACCTACTTAATAAACAGTCTTAAGCTCTGTTAAAAACTGGAACCAAACAATTTTACAGTTAATCCAAGTGTCACAATCTAAAGCCAAAAGCATCAATATCATGGGATATACTAGCAACCCTCCACCAATTTAATGTCTGTGATGCAGAGTAACAAAAACCAGCACTGGTACTCTGGAAGTTTGATCTGCTTTCTGATAATTTCCAGATAATTAACTTTTAAAAAGATCATTTTGGCTAAAATTTGAAGGCTTGTATAGGCAAATTAGTCAGCTGGCGTAGAGACGAGTCACAGAACCTGTTATTAAAAATGTACAGAGCAGATTACATCCTGGCTGTCTCAATGCATTTCAGAGCTGAATGTCAATGTGACGGTTGATACACACAAAGGAGCCGCAGCAGACGTGATGAAGCCTGCTCGTCAGTTACGAGCAGCAGAGATCTGGGTGTGTTTATTAGCGCTCTGGAATGTAACTGCTGTAAAACAGTCTGAAAATAACGCATTATTTTTATGATTCATCGCTTTGTTTTTATTGACACTGCTCCCTCTCTTTATTTATTTTTTGGCTCACTCCACCACTGCCTCTCATTCTCTGACGTCATTACTGGCGTAATAAGCCAAACAATAAAGCCAGCACAGCCTCACCAATCCATTAATGCTCATATTTCACATATCTTCCATTTGTTTTGATGTTCTTCATCTGGTTTCTTTTAGGTTGCTGAGTTATTGTTTTTTAACGATGGCACTTGTTGCGTTTGTCTTCTTGCACTCAGCCGCACACAAGAAGTGTTTCAGGTTCAAAAAGAGACTGAGTGTTGTAGTCCCCCAAGACTATTGGTATACAGACAATAGTACATCTAGATTTAAATCAAGGTGAAAATGAGAAGACTAACTAGAATAAAGTCTCAAAGTTGTAGTTGGGTAGTAGTTGTGATACAACTGTTCACGATCATCAGTTATATTTGAGACTGAAGCAGAAGGTCTCTGTCAAAGATAATCCAAGAGTTATTCAATAGATGTTCGATGGATTTAATCCCAAGTGCTTCTGAAGCTGTTTTTTCAGTTGTTTTTCTCAAGTACAACTTACTAACCGCTGAAAAGACTTTGAAATACAACTCTCTTATAACCATACAGTGCTCTGTATGGTTACACGGTCAAACTTTCTACCTACCTCTCATCCATGGCCACTTTAAAATCACTAATAGCATGTTTTTGGACTGTGGGACTGAGCTGCATCTGTTCATATGTGACAAATTCTTCTCATGTATAAGCAATAGAACACCCTCTTTTTAAAGTACCTTAAAAAGTACTTGTAAAACTCTTAGGTATTTGGTATATCTACTGATTTGTAGTTCAGTAGATATTCTCACAAGTGTGTGCCAGACCGTTGTGTGGGTTTTTTGTTGTTGTTTGTTTGTTTTTCTTCACGTTTGTTGTTTCCTCTGCTGACCAAACATTGGTATCCTCTCAGGTATGGACTACCAGACGGTGCAGCCTGCAATGGGGAGCAGCACTCTGAGCACTCTGAGTAGAGACACGGCCATGCTGCTCAGTGATCTCACTCAGGGAGCCTCTAACTGGATCCAGTCCTTTCTGGACCCAAGGCGGACTTCAGGTCGCTCGCTCTCCCGCTCATCTTCACAGAGACAGACTGAAACCCACATGTCCAACCAAGCTTCCGT